TTAGTGGTAAAAGGAAACCAGGCCGCCAAAGAACATGGGTGTTAGACAGCATTAAAGTCAACACCAGCCTGAGCGTGGAACAACTCAAAGAAACAGTACAAGATTGAAAAATGTGGAGAGAGCTGGCCCATAGAATCCCCAAGAGTCAGACATGACTGAATGGCTAACAAGAACAACAGCATGTAGGGACCTAAATATGTTTTAGTTCACTGTCCCACAGCCACTTTGACAAGTTCTTCTCTCACACTTCAGGCCCCTCTCTCAGCTAGGGGCCATGGCCACACCTGGGCAGCCATAGCAGACGATACCTGGGGCAGATAGTGGCATAGTGCCTTGCCAGCAGGGTGTTGCCACCAACCATGGTGCCACCCTAGGGGTGCCACTGAAAGACCCACTGAAAGCAGATGTTGGTCCCAACAGAGGCTGGGGATGGACCACCCAGGCAACCAACAATATATACACTCATGTACCCACCCAGGAAATTACTTCTCCCCCTCCAGGGACCACTCATCACCTGAGCCCCCCAGGGTGTTGAGCCCTGGAGGCAGACAAGGCCTAGGACCTTGTCATGCTGTCATGAAGTCAAAGTAGTACACAAGCATGTAATGGCTATAAAATGTATTATTAACATGTAGCAACACAGCTGGCAACAGTGAACATCCAACAAGCATATTACACATGGAAGGGGGGGAATCCTGGGTCGGGATGGGCCAGGCAGCCCAGGTGCCTCCCACCCTTGTGTTTGTGCCAGCTACCCCACCTCCCTGGTGCCTTTCACCTGGCAGGACTGCTGCAAGTGCCCCTGAATGGCTTCCAGGCTTATAGCAACCACCAGTAAGCTGTATAGGTGGCATATCATGTACACTGGAGTTGCTGCATGCTATTCATCTCTCTTTCCTGGTGCTGCAGGATGGTCATCACCTGCTCTAGTTAGGTTTCCATTCAGTACTTGACTATCAGAATGACCATGAACAAATATGGGAGGGAATGGAGGTATGGTTGGTATGGATCTGGAAATGGAACCAGGTGCCCATGTCTGGATGCAGCCATCCAACTCATGGGTGTGGGCTGGGCCCAGGCAGTGGCTTGACTGTAGAGTGCAGAGCACCTCAGGTCTGCTCCCCATTTGGAGCTTGTGTAGAGGACACTCAACCCTATGGGGTGGACCTGGTCAGGATGGGGTGGGGGGATCAGCTTCAGCTGAGGGACTGCAATACCCTCCATTTATGCCTTAGATCCATTGGTGGATGAGCTTATGAGGATGATGGAACCTGTCCATAGCATGAGCCCACTGGGTTCCACTGGCTCTAGTGATCTGTAGCCCCTTGCAGACCATTCAGTATCTTGACTGATCTCGGTCCCCTCCACATTGTCTAACTCCAGCTGTTCCGGGGTGTGTGTGTCTGAGCAGCATGCTGTGCAGCAACTGAGAGAATTGCTTCACCTGCCTGATCCATCGCTGCTGTGGGACATGAGTGTCAGTGACAGGAGTTATGTGGAACAGGCATCCATATAGACCATGTGGGGACACTTCATCATATTGGTGCCCTAGGCAAGTGCACACCCCTATCTCCCTCCCCATCCCCAGATGCAGCACCATGGGTTGGTGGCACAGGGCTGTAAGTGTTCCTGTACTCATTCCTGCATGGTGGCACCGTGGACTTCCTGGGCCACCATTGCTGGCTTCAGTGGTCTGTCCCCCATTTGTCTGGGCCAGAAGGCATTCCCCTCTCCCCCAGCTGGGACAGTGGCAATTGCTGTTGGATGGCTGTGTTGTGGAGCATGGCACATACTGCAAAGAACTTGGTGATGGACAGGCATTGCATAGCCCTGCAACCCCCAGTGTGGTGCAGGCAATGGAAGCTTGCTGAGTGCCTGCTTGATGACCATGCATGTGTGACAGTGGGTCTGGCTGTAGGCAGCATGGTCCACAGGCTTTGTGATATTGTGGCATCATGTGATGTTGTCCCGTCTCCCCCTTTTTTGTTCCACCTGCTTGTTTGAGCAGCAGCAGGTGCCATGGCTTTCATCCAGCTGATTTCTGGATATTTTTTATGGCAATAGCTTTATTCCTGTGGTGTTATAATATTATAGAAATCTATTGCTATAGGATTTGGGTTGCAGAATCACCAAGAAATCTAAAAAAATAGATTTGAAGCAAAGTGTCAGTGTTAATGTGACACATAAAAATTACTTTTAACTTGCACAAGTATATAGGGCTGACTTCAAAAACATTCTAAAAACTTCAATTGATCCAAAATGTGGTAGCCAGATTACTGTCTGGTTGGTTACAGGGATTGTCTTACCCCTGTGCTGAAATATCTGCACTGGCTACCGGTCTTTTTCCAGGCACAATTTAAAATGCTTTATCTTTAAGTCTTAAAAGGCTTGGGGCCAGGGTACCTGAAGGATGGCATTTTGCCTTACTATCCACACCACTAGTTAGGATTTGCCTTGCAAGGTCTGTTCTGTGCAGCAACTAGAAACAGAGCATTTTCTGTGGCAGCATCCTGTGTTTGGAATGCCCTCCGTCTTGAAGCTCATCTGGTAACGGTCTTTTAGGCATCACATCAAAACACACCTTTTAGGTATCAGCCCAAAACATATCTTTTAACCCAGGCTTTTAATTAGGGGCGTTATCTTTCAAGCTGTTTTATTGTCTGCCTTTGTGCGATGGCAAGTTTTATTCTGTTTTTATGTTGCTGGGTTTTATATTGATAATTTATTATTTTTATTACAAGCTGTCTTGAGCAGAACTCTAGAGAAGTGGCTTAGATATCTCCTACATACATACATACATACATACATACATACATACATAGTGCTTAGAAAACCAGTTGTCCAATATAGAGCCCAAAGCGCAGTCCTTGGCAAGTCCAGTTACCAAAGATCTTGGGTAGCAGGTCTGGGAAAGACATCAGTCTAAAATCGTGAAGAATTGCTTCCCACTGGAATATAGATAAAACTGTTGTTCTTGCTCACTAATTACAGGAGATTCCTGTTGGATTTGAATTGCTGGTGAAAATAAACATTCCTACTATATCAGCCCTATATTACATCCAAGATACAATTCCTTCTTCTTCTTCTTTTACTAATTTAGGAATGGCTGAATACCACAGACACTCTCCAACAATATGTACTGTAGTTGTACCTACATACTTAGTGCTATGTGAAAGCAATAGAAAAGGCTGCTGTGCTTGTTGTGCTTCCCTTTATTAGCTTGAACGTAATCACTGCTGTCAGTTCTTATCACCAGTTAGGTGGGCAGGAGGGGAAATAAGGACTGAATACTGTATTGGGTTTAAACAGATGATCGGCAGAGTTGAGGGTACAAGAACTTCACACATTTTCCCTCAGGCTGGATGAATTATTTTTCCCTGAGGGTAGATTCAGGTGGACAGCCGTGTTGGTCTGAAGCAATAGAACAAACATTGAGTTCAGTGGCGGCTTTAAGACCAATGAAGTTTAATTTGGGGTAGAAACTTTTGTGTGCATTAAACTTTGTTGGTCTCAAAGGTGCCACTGGACTCAAACTTTGTTCTTTTCCCTGAGGGGCTTTTGGTTTTTTCTGTTAAGGCATATCCAAGATCAGGATTCTAGTTCTGTGTTTCACTTTTGTCGGATCAGGCCAGTAGCTCAGCATTGCAGTAAGTCCCGCAAACAGCCTACATCTACCCAAGTTACATCTAATTTGTACAGTAATGGACAGAAAAACCTTTATGTTTGTTATGTGCCGTCAAGTCGCTTCTGACTTATGGCAACTCAATGAATTAATGCCCCCCCCCCAAACATCTTATTATTAACAGACTTTTTCAGCTCTTGCAGACTGAGGGCCATGGCTTGCTTTATGTTGGGTTTTTCTTTTTTTCTGCTGCCTTTGATTTTTCCTACATTTATTGTCTCCAGTGACTCGTCTTCTCATAATGTGACCAAAATACAATAGCCTCAGTTTGGTCATCATAGCTTCTAGGGAGAATTCGGGCTTCTAGGGTAAAGTTCCCAGCTCTGGGTCGGGAAATACCTGGAGATTTTGGGGGTGGAGCCTGAGGGCAGGGTTGGGGGAAGGGAGGCACTTCAGTAGGGTATAATGCCATAGAGTCCACCTTCCAAAGTGGCCATTTTCTCCAGGTGAACTGATCTCTGTTGCCTGGAGATCATTCCAGGAGATTGCCAGCCACTACCTGGAGGTTGGCAGCCCTATTCTAGGGAGAATTCAAGCAGAATTCTAGTGGATATAAAAAGGCTAAAGTACGCACACACACTATGTCATTCTGCCTCATTTCCCCATCATCGAGGTTGTAGATTGCTGTTACGAAAGAACTCCTAGTTTTACTACAGTCCCCGATTCGGCAGCAGGGATCACTTTTCAGTCTCATGGCCTGTGTTCCCATCATATTTCTGTTTCTAATGGTACGATAAATTAAACATTAATTATGAACGTTGATGTTTTCTGGTGTGAGTGTTGGACAGTGACCAAGATTCTTTATATTCTGTTTCAAGGAAATCCAAATTCTGCCTCAACAAACTGTAAATGTTTATGCATTAGCAGTTTAATTGAACAATACAAGAATAGTCCAGGTGTACTTAACATAATGTGCAGTATTTGGATTTTCACAGAGTATGATTTCTTTTTGTGTTTGCAAACTACAGATAACATGCAGTGAATGTTAGCGGGCTTCCAAAACATTGGTTTGGGATTTTGTGTTGTTTGGTATTAACTTCTATTAACCTAGAATTTAGTGTGTGTGAAATCATGTCTACTGTGCTTGACAGAACTGAGAAGTATTACAGGAATCCAAAATGTAATGAATGTATGAACTTTCTCCTTGGACAAGTGCATTCTGTCCTTAGAGATGCAAAGACCTTTGTGTTTCATAACACAATACTTCTGTTGTCTTACAGGTACATTTTATTTTGTTGGGAAATGAGTGACTGTTTTTTACCTTGTTTGGATGTGATCTGCTGCAAATCTACAAAGATATTTTCTTTCCCTTTTTTAGCCAACAAGGCGATCTGCAAGATTGTCAGCTGTAAGTATTTATAAGAGTTTGTGTAAACATGAAGGCAAAGTCTATTTCATGCAAACAATACAAATCAGTACTAGTTATCCCATATGATGACGGATAAGGCAATATTACCTTGGTTCATTTTTTATCCTTTAAAAATACTATAGACCTATGGAATGTATAACAGTTCCCTGTTAAAACGTCTAGGGATGACATTAAAGAATATCCATTGCCCTCCTACGCAGAGTTATGGCCTTCTAAATCCATTAAGGCTTACAAGGGTGTAACTCTTCTTAGGATTGCAACTGTGAGTTTCTCTTTGATGACAAAAAGAATGCTGGAACGAGCATAGTTTTTTAAAAACATATATATACAAGCACATCGTAGTGGAAGCCAGTAATGCTCCTGTAACAGAGAATAAAACCACTGATCCCACCTTACAGTCCCAGAGAAGAACTCTTTGTCAACTCCAAGGTAGCATCCCAGTTAAACTCTCAGGTTTCTGTGTGCTTTTTCTCCCAGTTCAAATTGGATGACCAGCTTTAAGTTGTGTCCCTACCGACCCTCTAGCTGTAGGGTATCACCTTGAAAAGACAATACCTGGCACATACTAAGTCAGTGTACTATTTGGGTTGATAGTTTTCCAAAAGATTTTTGGTAATACCTACTGTCCTGACCCCAGGGGGTCTCTGCCTTCCGCCGCCACCACCCTGGACTTATGGTCCCTGTTGAGAAGGCCCAGGGTACCCTCTCAAGCACACACAAAATGCCCCTTTTACAGCCGAGAACACACAGGCGTGATTGACCCAGGCAGAGAAAATAATTAAACAGAAAGGGTTTATTAAAAACACCACTGGGGCAGGGAAAACAAGGCAAGGTGCTTAAAAAGGGTATAACAGGGTTGAAAAGGAAAAATAAACATAAACTAACATAGCTACCTGTTCTACTTCCAGGCCCCCAACCTGCCTAGCACTCACGCTGAGCCCAGTGGAGATCTTCCTCTCTCCCAGACAAGCCTGTCCCCACAGTGAGAGCAGGCCGCAGAGAGACGAAAGAACACCCTGTGTTTCCTCAGTTAACGGCTAAGACCCCCTCCTCACACAGTTCAACAGTCTCCTCACAGAATCTCCCTCTCTGATTGGCTATAGCCCGTTGCTAAGCCTTATAGGGAGTGTAGGCTGTCTGCTCACTGCCATGCAGGTCTCTTCTGGGACCAGGCCGCACTAGGCCCTGCTCCCAGTCCTGCACAGATCATGACACTTACTTTGGTTGGTGGTTTCCTCATTTCCTTTTCAGGGAATATACTCGCTGGATGGTTTCTGTGAATGTATATATGTATCAAATCAATGCCAGTTTCAGGAGATGATTAGGAAGGGTTTCTTGTAGTACAAGAGATACCATGAACAACAGACAAATAAGTGACTTTTCAACCATTCTGGCATAGATTAAGAGGGGATTTAAATTAAGAGGTAGCATGTTAAGAAATCTGAAAAGGAGAAAGATGGCTCGTAACTGCTAACTGTGGAACTGTCTGAAACTATTTCCTAGAAACCAGCTCCGCCAAAACCTGAGCCGAAGCCAAGGAAAACCACTAAGGTAAAAAATGTTTCTTTCTAATTTAAGGTTTTTTTACAGTTCACATAAGCCCTGTTAGCCTGCTGTCTCTATTTTATATGAACTTAATAAATATTCTTAGTACTTATTTTTAAATGTTCATATGGAACAGAAGTGGTTACTTTCTAAAGTAAATAAATGAAATTCTGGTTAACAGAAGAAAAAGATACAACTGAAGTAGTTGTTGTAGATTTTCCAGGCTGTATGGCCGTGGTCCTGGCATTGTAGTACCTGACGTTTTGCCAGCAGTCGTGACTGGCATCCTCAGAGGTATAACACAGAAAGATGGAGAAGAAAAATGGTAAGCAGGTAATTTATATCTACTCAGGAAGGTGGGGTAGGGCTGAGTTCTTTTATTCTTGAAAGACACTGCAGACTTGGCCAACCTGAAAAATCAACTCAAACAGGACACAGTATCTTATTCCAAGACACTGAAATGCTGAACAACACATCCAGTTACCATGTCAGATTACACAGGGAAGCCATTAAAATTCATAAACATAAACACAGTTTCAACAGGAAAGAAGAGAGTTTAAAAATAAATAGGGCATGTTTTCCAGTCCTGAAAAACACAAAATGCTCTACATCTTACAACAGCACTACAGATAAGATTAGAATTTCACTAGCCAATCCGTATGCAAAAGAACCTCCTCAGGAAAGCTCCTCCATTAGCATGTCACAGCCTGGGAAACTCCTACAAGATAATGACTCAGCCCTATCCCACCTTCCTGAGTAGATATAAATTACCTGCCTACCATTTTTCTTCTCACAGAGAGTACTCCATCTTTCTGTGTTATATCTCTGAGGATGCCAGTCACAGCTGCTGGCAAAACGTCAGGTACTGCAATGCCAAGACCACGGCCATACAGCCCGGAAAATATATAACAACTAATGAGCTCCGGCCGTGAAAGCCTTTGACAAAACAACTGAATGTCAGTAAATGCCATTAAGTTACTGTGGAAATTTTGAAACAGTAACTGGAGTACAGAGTTGCATTTTGACATTATTACAACCTAATTATTTTATTAACAGAAGCAAACCAGGGACAACCTCCACACCCAGAAATGAAAACACATTGAGTTGAATCCAGCACAGCATTTCCACAGATTGCAAAGACTGTTGTATATGGAATGTAATTTTTGCAGGCCCCCTCTCCCATGGTAGCCCAAAACACTCCCTGAAATCCTGTCTCCACTCCTCCAGGAACAGAATCTCCAGAGTCTCCACTCCTCCAGGAACAGAATTTCAGGGGCCATTTTGGGCTGCTGCAGGAGGTGGAACTTGTGCTCTGTGGGTAGAAGTCCTTATTCCCATGTAAATGCTGTTTTGAATCCATCTCTTAGGTTTGGATCTTGTGGAGTCTGTGTAAGGGTGTGTAAGGATATGGTCTTTTCTCACTAGCCTCGAGAGGCCCCCAAAACACTAACGTTGAGACTGCAGGACTGGTGTGAACAAAATCCATGTGGGAATGAAGGACGGAAACTAGACTAAGGCTGCTCCTGTGCCAGCAGAATTTCTTGCATCAGCTTAAGCATCACTGAATGAAGAGGAAAGAATGGACTGTTTTGTCTGGTTCTTCTCTTTCCTGCATGGGCACTTTGAGGGCTCAGGAATGCTGGGAAAAGTCGTGAATTTTCAGTGTGAACCTCCTTTTGCACATACACCATAGAATCCTAGCTGCTGTAGCTAATTATAGGAATAAGAGAGAGAAGACAACTTGTGCTCTACAAAGTTTTCTGTGGATTATATTTTGGTTACAACTCCAGTTTATATGTGCGTGAACAAGTGCATATAGAAAACAAATTGTGGTTATTTCATATGATCAGTATATTAACCATTTCTGTTTTATCAGTGTAACCATAACAAATTTTGAATTTCATTAGGATGCAAAAATAAAAGTCTCTCTAAAGAGCAGTGGCTGAGATTCAGAACGTGCTTGGGCATACTCAGTGGGATTTTTGAGGGTTTTTTTTAACAGCAGCCCCCCATGGTACAACTGCTTTTTTGAGTTTTCTCAGTTTCGCAACAGGTTTACTCTAAAGCATGGTGGCTGCTGATCAAGGAACACAAGCTCATGTGCTTCTTGAGTGCACAGAACTAATTGAAATATTTTTTGAATCCCAAGCAGTGAATTTTCTGCTGTATCTTCCATCAGATTTAGTCCTGATAAGCGGGAGTTCTATAGTAATGTTCTACAGATATTGTCTGGAACAGTAGCACTAGTAGGCCAGTGAGGAAGATGAAAGACACATCTGAGGCCTGGTTGATAAATGCTTCACAGAGCTGGAGGCAGCGCATGTAGCATCTGATGCTATTCAGAGCTGTGGCAAACAGCTTATTCTGAGAATACAGTAACAAAAGCATCAAAAGAAAAACATATTTTTACAAAGTTTAATTTTTAAGGGTTGTGCTTTACAATTAATTATGATAGTATGTATAGTTTTTCAGTCTTTAGAAACTCAGCCCCATACTGCATTCCTCTCCCTTCCAACCCAACCCAGCAACAAATACTTTTTCATAGGAGATTCTCTTATGCACTTCCATCAATAACTCAACAGTAGGATTAGAGTGGAGCAGAACAGGGCATCTGCAGTGCCCAACTGTGCCATGCATAGGGAAACTTGAATCCAGTTCTAAGCCAATAAGGAGGATGGTTCTTCTTGCATCTGGAGTCTTCCCCTTCTTGGAACGTTGTGCTCCTCAGTATGACAACATACGTTTGTTGGTTTACACAATCAATAGGGCTGGTCCAAGTTAGATGCAGGTACATGCAAGGAAACATTTCAATGGATAATTAGGAGCTTCTGGTTTGCCTCTTTCTTCCTGGGATGTGTGGCTACATGTATAAAACCATGGTCATTATCAAAAGGAAATTTGAGAGTGACAGCTAGAAACTAACTGGTATGGAATAAAACTACTGGGATTCCCAAACTTTGTAAACAGGTGTTAAAAGTGAAGATTAAAGATTCAGATGAATATGCACTATTCTTATGTATACGTATCACACAAAGAAATGTGAAATTTTGAAAACACAGAAAGAATCTGAATTTTTCATTTCTGTTTTTGGGTAGAACTGCCCCTTAAGAGGTTGCTGCCCCAGAAGATTGGTAGGAGTGATTTTTAAAAGCTCATTCCTAGGCTCATGGGGGCCTGATTGGATGTACCATCTGTGTTATCTGAGTAGACAGCTTGGTCATGAGTGGCAGACAACATGACCATCAAATACTCAGTAATATGTGGAAGATTCCTGAAAGTCATGTACTAGCTCCAGCCAGTCATCCCTGTTGTTTTGTTTATTGTTGGAAAAAATTATTTAATTGTTGAAAAGTACTCTTAATATTAACTGAATCCCCCTCAGAGCACGTGCCCTCTCACTGCCCACGGAAGACCCTCCCAGCAGCCCCAAACTCTTGCACCTCCCCACTCTACTTGGAGAGACACCTTGATTGTTACCATTTGACTTTGGGCATTTCCCTAGCAAAAAGACCTCCAAAAACAAGACTGACTTTTCAGGAATAAAGTAACATTAAATTTACTCAGTAACTCAGTTGTCTTTTAACCAGTGAATCTAGTAAAAACACTGCATGTAGTGGATTGTTCTAATAACATTAGTTATGATGATCTGGTTTATATAGTGAAATTTAAATATACAGAGCACTTCACAGACACAATCTTACTAATTCTTATAATAGCCTTCTAAGGTAAGCTAGAAGTTTAATCACTTGTAGAACCATTACTTTACTTTCATCTGAAATCTAGTAAATCTAGTAAAAACACTGCATGTAGTGGATTGTTCTAATAACATTAGTTATGATGATCTGGTTTATATAGAGAAATTTAAATATACAGAGACCTTCACAGACACAATCTTACTAATTCTTATAATAGCCTTCTAAGGTAAGCCAGAAGTTTAATCACTTGTAGAACCATTACTTTACTTTCATCTGATGATGTCACAGGGTAGGGCCTGGTGTGGCCCACAGAGCTTCAATGAAAGATTAGTCTGAGTTCTTCAAAAATCTCATCAATGAGTAAAACATCTTAAAAAGCATTTCACTCATTCCAAAAGAGAATATTGCATGGGAGTTTTTAAAATATTCCCCAAATGTTATATTTTTCCACTTGAAAAATTGGGGGGAAAGTCATTTTTGGGGAAAAACCAGAAACGCCCCTGATTTTGTCTTAATATTTTACAGACCTTCACATCTCTAATCACGTCATTTTTAATTGTGTAAGAGTCATAATTTGGCTGTTCTCCCTTTCTCTTTATAAACATAGCTAGATGTCCCTTTTTACAGTTTATTATCACATATCACGTGTGCCGTGGTGGCTCAGAGGTTAAGACGCTGAGCTGCAGACTGGAAGGACTGTAGTTCGGCAGTTCGAGACCCTAGTGCCACGTGACAGAGTGAGCTCCCGTCTCTGGCCCCCGCTCCTGCCAACCTAGCAGTTTGAAAGCAAGAAATTGCAAGTAGGTAAATAGATACCGCTTCGGTGGAAGGTAACAGCGTTCTGTGCATCTTGGCGTTTAGTCATGATGGCCACATGACCACAGAAATGTCTTTGAACAGCGCTGGCTCTTTGGCTTGGAAATGGAGATGAACACCACCCCCTAGAGTCGGATTCGACTGGCTTTCGGGCAAGGGAAACCTTTACCTTTATCACTTATCACAGAGGTCACAGTTTGAAATTTATGTTCTGTAATGTAGAGTATTGAAACATTTTATTTATATTCCTAGAGATAATAGGCACTAGTCATCTCTATCTCTCACCAGACCTTTCAGTCAAAAGGTTTAAAGAGATGGCTTGTTTCCCTCTTGGGAAAGTCCAGAGTCGTTACGTGGAGGCAGGCAATGGCAAACCACCTCTGGAAGTCTCTTGCCTTGAAAATCCTACAGGTCATCATAAGTCAGCTGTGACTTGATGGGACTTTCTGCCACCAGACATCTCCTCCATCTATATTACAGCTGGTTCCGGACCATGATTTACAAAGTGGTTCACAAAGTGCATGGTCAACCACAAGCACCAGATTCCTTATGCTGCCTTTTTTCTTTCTTTCATAGCAGTTTACTCAGCCCATGTGATGCTCAGTCAGGGTGTTTCCTCATAATTTGCAACTATATTTTCAGTGCAGATGATGGAAATATCATGCCTCAATTTGTTGACTTCCACATGAGTGACAAGAAAGAAGGCAGGAGTGAGCCTGGCTCCTTCTTCCCTCTTGTTTCTAGATCTTGTGCAAAGAGGGGAGAATCATGGTGTCCTGATGCAAGAACAGAATACATATCCCTCTCCTTTTGCACAAGAGATGAAATGGAAACAGTGAAGGAGAAAGCATAGGTTTATGTGGGATAAGCGAATAACCTCTAATATTGTAGTTTTACTGGTAGAAACAGAATACTGTTTACAAATTGGCAGGTGATTTCAGCATTTGTAGGAGATTCTGTTTGGTGCATCTGGTAGCCTCAAGTTATCCTGATTGAATTGAGTATGTTCATTTCTACTAGTCTGTTGCTTATAACATGAGTATTTGGAGAGGCATCACTACTGGCAAGCATTCTCTGCATTATAATACATATATGTTCCTGTCTTTGATCTGTTATCAGAAGGAACCTGGAACAAAGACTAACAAAGGTGCTAAGGGGAAGAAGGATGAAAAGCAAGAAGCTGCAAAGGAAGGTACTACACCATCTGAAAATGGTGAAAATAATGATGAAGAGGTACTTTACACACAAAGCTCCTGCTGATTCAGTCAGTGTGTTCTTGTAATTCAGTTTTTTCAGCCATTGAAAGCATGTTCATAATATTTCTTTTTATTGCCCCGTGATGTTATTACAGATTCGCATCCCTCGCTCCACTGTTAGTGTTTCAACATCCAGAGGTGCCCCACCCAGCACACTGTCAGTAAAAGGGCAGATTGAAACAGTGAAAGTTAAGGGTACGATAGAGCATTCTGCATGTGTGCAGTGAATAGAAAGAGATAGTAGTGTGGTGCTTTTCATTATGAACAATGGAAGCTGGCAGGTAAGGCTTCTATGGTTTTTGCAAATTAGGAAATAAAATATTTGAGAGTATTTATAGCTGTAAAAATATAGCATCTGAGTAGCCTGAAATTGGGGACATGCAAACATTGCAGCAAAAAAGAAAGACTGCTTGTGATGGGATATTTTCTCTTCATTCTGAGCTTTCTAAAGGAACAGATAGGCATACAGTGTTAGGCTGCCATAATACTTTTTTTCTTTACCTTTTCTCAGGCACAGAGAACTGAACCTATAGAAGACAAGTGCATGTGAACGGACAGGAACATTTGAGGATGATTTTATGCACCTCTTGGACAACTTTTAAAAGATATTTTTATTAAGTATTTTGTAAATGCTAATTTTTTAGGACTTATGATAAGTTGACAAACTGTATATGAACATTTCCCTTCCCATATGCGTGCTTTTAGAAATTCCCAATGTTGCCAAGTTTTTTAAAAGTGTCAACTTAACCATTGGAAAAAAGTGTTTATAAGATTGGACAGCCATTCTATATACTTGCTTTTCAGAAACGTATGTCTTGTGCATATGGTGACGTTTTTACCGTGGGTGTTTGGATTTTTCTTGCTGTTTTTCTAGAGCAATAATCTGTGGTGCTTTTCTACTTAAGGTTTATGTGATATTAATGAAACATGGATAGATATGGCCACTTGATAACCATGTTGAGTTCTTTGCCATTGGTTTAAAACAAAAAGTCTCCTTGCCAGCAAATATCATTTCCCAATATTTTCTCTAAATCTGAGAAATGCCTTATACTTTGCTCTTGTTAGGAAGGTACTAAGCACACTTACTTAAAAGTTGGTTTCAGTGATTTCAGGATCAATATTAAAGGTCGTGGAAGGTCAGACTTAAGAACATCTATTTTTTAAAGATCAGTGTACCAGAGGACATAAATACAAATATTCCAACTAAGTAGTATGTAGGCAGATGCCAAAGTGGTTTGTGCTCATTATGCAGCATTTATGATAAATTCAAATGTTCACATTAGTTTCCTATGTGTGCACTTGTGATGCATCAAGCCAAACATAACCAACCAACATATACTGTGGATTGTCAGGTACTGCGGAAGTCCTAAAGCCTCAGAACCCATCAGGCTGAGGCAGTCAAGCAAAAGAAGTTTCTGGAGCCCCTGGTAGACTACACATGACTGATGGGCTGCATTGACTCTCTGTGAAAGGCCTGGAATAGAAGAACAAAAGGCCCACAATACACCAAGTGACTTTTTCTGCATTCTTTTCCACAGTATCAACTTATATTGACTTCATAGAACTGTAAAAGCACAATGCAAATTGATATATATCTTGATTGACAGATAAAGAGGAACAGCTATGATTTCATTCCTCCATATTTTAACCACCCCTTCTTTTTTTTGTTTTACCAGAGATGATTTGCGTGTAAACATTTAAGACTACAGAATCAGTCCTCTGCCTGCCTCAATCCTTAATCTAAATTGGTGATTTCTCTTCTGCTTTATTGAATGATTGGTGATTAATGTATCAAAGCTACAATTGAAACAGCACTGTGCGGTACCTGGTATAGATAATGTAGATGAACTATATTTTTAAAGTCTGTGGTTGTGCTGGTGGTGTTCAATTAGATGGATAACTTTAATACCTATGTTAACACTGCTTCAGCCCATTATAAGCACCTAGTGATTTCCCATGTTTTTCTCATTTTTGCTTGGGACTTACATATTTCTGTTGGGGGAGGGAATGAAGATAAAGGATCATATTTCTTGTCCTTTGGTAACATTTATTTTTATTGCTAAACTGGTGGCCCTAATGTTCGGGGATATATGCATGTTTCAGTCAATAAATGAAGTAATTATCACCTAACCTAGTGTCCTTATTTGGTATTTGGCAATAATTATACTACTCACAGTAGCCTCTTTCCATTTCCATAGCTTATCTAGGCAACTCTGTTTTCAAATGTACATTACAAAGGTGAATGAAAATGATAAAAATGCAACGAGAGTCTATATACAATTAATATGTAAAATAAGATGCCATAAACATTCCTGATGAATTTTATGCAGATATTATAGCTTCATTAGCCTCATCTGATCACAGAGACCTGGGCCACTGAATTGTTCTAGTGTTGTTTTTTTGGTATTTTGTTAAAAAAGCATACACAGTTGCTCTATGATTTGATTCCTACAGTAAAGCCCTATTCCATTCCATTCATTTTTATTGCTCATAGACTCATAAGTCATAAGCAAATAGACAGGGTATAATACAAAATACAGCATATATACATACAGTACATTACAATTACAGTTACAATTTCACAAAATTAAGCAATTTGTTTACCAAATATATATTAACTGCCTAAAAGAGTCAATTTATTTAATACCACCCAGGGTTACAGATAAAAACTTTGCCACGGCCATCGTCACATTTGGATCATTATCAACTAAGAGATTAGCTACAAGTAGTAAAGCCCTATTGGCTTTGTTATTTAGCTTCTATCACCAGAGTCTGAAGCTCCAACACACATGCACACTAATGAATTTCTTTGCAACATCTCTTTGATGTGAGAACACATTATTATCCTCTATCTTACTGATAGGTAATTAAGACACAAGAGATTTATTGTCCAATCCCTAAAGCTGTTCTACTAACAGAAAATAGAGTGAACAGAGCTTGTATTGACCAACAGCTTGGGAGAGAAGACTGTTCAAACTGGGCAAGTTAGGACTCCTGAAAGGTAATGGTTTAATTTTTTCACGTATCTTCATTTGTAGAATTCTCACAGAACCTAATTTCCTTATAATGTTACAATCATGAACATTCCATTGTTTACCAAACTATCATTTATGTAGTTGTAAAGCACACAGTATGTTTTTAAAGTCTAAACTACTGTATGACAGAAATGTTAAACACACTACATAGCATCACATTTTTAAAGCTTCCAAATACTGGGAACCAGTATATGTTTTAGCTCTCAGTCTTTAAGCAAAATCTAGAATTCTGTTGTATTCCTCAGGTTGTCTATTCCATTTCATGGATGGAATGCTTCCATTATGACGTATTAACCTGACATCTGAAGAGTCCTTTGCAAATGATTTTTTTAAAGAAAAGTGTAAAGGTTATTTAATGTAATATACCTGGAGTTATAAAGAACAGAGGAAGATAGATCATGAAATGTGTGAGAGAGAAACAGGCCAAGCTATAAAAGAATTCCACTAAATCAACTCAGAGGAAGGTATTTGGGGAGGAAATTCAGAGAAAACTGTTAGCTATAAAGAAAAAAAATATTAAAGAAGTGTATAGACAAAAACAAGCCCCATTCAAAAGAGACTTAATACCATAGGCAAAGAATATACAAAGAATACAACTAACAGAATAAAGATTATTTAGGGCTTTTATTGTAAGAGGATCATTTATGTTGAAACATGGAGCAATGTATGACAGTTGCAGGGGGGAAAGCAAAAAGAATAAAAACCACAGGTAACTTTAAAGCAAAGAACAAGAAAGGATACCGAGAGGGCTAGAAAAGGACAAGGAATAAAAGGAGGGATCTTCTAGCAAGGTACATGAATTTGAAACCACAGTGGCTTGTATTTCTTGCAGTAACTGGGAGTTTCTCTTTGTCTCCATGAGTCAGTGTGGGGTAGCATTTAGAGCAGGAGTGCACAACACAAACTTGCAGGGGGACCAGAAAGGATTCTTGAGTGATTCCTGGCTCAATTATGGCCCACTTTTGATTGGGGATAGAAAGGACATCACAAAATGTCAAGAAGTGAAGTTCTCTCCCTCCCCAGTCCACAGACATAAGGGGGGGGGGGTATTCTGGCACACCACACACATGGGCAATTTCTTAGTTGTATCCCAGGAGCTTGTCTTTGTGCCTCTCTGAAATGCAACACAGAAATTTCTTGGGGGGAGATCATTTCTCAACCCAAAGAACAGGTGAAAGGTAGCATTCTGGAAAATGCTCACCACCTCTCAGCAAGGACATTACAATGAATTAAGTGGGAGGGGTACAAACTAGCTCCCAACTGGCAGATGGTGTTCCCACCCACCCACTCCCACATCTGCTATGGGAAATTTGGGGGAGAGAATGCTGATTTCTGCTTTTCACCTCTTGTGACTCCTTACTGGGATACAGTGAGGAGCTTGGGGTGTGGGGAGGCGGTGGCAAGAATCAGAATGTTGATTCTTTGAAAGTCAGTGTTCGGTTTCTCCCCCACCCCACCCCACACAAGGAAACTTATTAGGGTAAGGTGAAAAGTTTAGAGAAGTCAATATCTCAGTCTAACATGGCTTTTGTGAGAAGAAAATGGGAGGGCGAAGAGAACCTTGTATGCCACCTTGAGCTCCTTGCAGGAGATGAATTTCTGTCTTAAGAGACTACAGAAATCACATATCTCAACGTTGTGGCCCACATATAGCTTGGGTTTCTGTGCAGAAATAGAGCTCTATTAGGAGATAATGTTCATGGTCCTAATTTTGAATGCAACATTCGCTTGGTTCCATTTTCAGACTTTGTAGTGTTCAGGGTGACTTGTGCTGAATACCCATGTACATTTCATCTGAGTAGTTGGAAGTATCTGAAAATATTTGGAAATAGACTTCTGGCGTTATACTTATTAGTGTTATACTTATTAGACTTGGCACCCTAGCTCACTGAGAAGTACCTCAACAATTCTGATACCGTATAAGTCACTGAGGCCATATCTATATAGGAATGTTAGTTATCTATTGATCTCTTCTTATGAAACAGCATAAAGCCCTTTGCTGCAGAGGGGGTTGACTTAATTGTAGCAAACATATCTCTACTAGAAGAATTAATTTTGCATGACTGTATATTTTTTAATTGAATAACAGAAAACTTTAGGTTCACAATCCTCATACACCATTAAGCATTGCTTATTAATAAACTCCCTTTAGTCAACATAAGTAAAGGTTCCCTTGCTCGAAAGCCAGTCGAATCTGACTCTAGGGTTGCGGTGCTCATCTCCGTTTCAAAGCCGAAGAGTCAGCGCTGTCCGAAGACAACATAGTTTTGTCAATATATTCACTTTTGATTTGACAAGTGAGGAATAAAAATTACATAGGTAATGGACAACTAATCCCCCCCTCCCAACTCAGTGCTGTTGCAGGGGCAACAAAGAAAGCAGCATCTCCTGTTTGTCCCCACCTGAGTTCCCAGATCCTATGCTGCCAGTGTTAAGGCAACAGGAATGCACCAGACCTGCACCCCATCAGCTGCTTGTCTAATAAGGCAGCAGGTGCTGTTTATCTCTGCTGCTTGAAACAAGTCTCTAGCCAGACATATTAACGTTTTTCACCCTGGGAACCACTAGGGAACATAAGTTTTGAGTGCTACTGCTGCCTCATTGATGGTATAGCCTACTTTTAATTAATCAAAAACACAGACAAGCACATGAAAAAAAAATATTTCAGCTCCCTCCTCCTGAGTAGCAACTGCTTTGCCTTTCTTTCCCACCAGGGAATTGCTTAGGTATACCTAGATGCTGCTTCTTGGGTTACATCCAACCCAGCATTTTTTTGAAGCTGTGTGCTACAAACACCATGGAAGGAACTTGTGTTTTTAATACTGTGATCAGCCAATTATTATGCTCCATTTCCTGTTTACCCCAGACAATTCTGTGTTTCAGAAGAAGAGTAGGTTTTTATACCCCCCTTTTCTCTACCCTAAGCAATCTCAAAGCAGCTTACAATTGTCTTCCCTTCCTCTCCCCACAACAGGCACCTTGTGAAGTAGGTGGGGTTGAGAGAGTTCTGAGAGAGCTGTGACTAGCCAAAGGTTACCCAGCAGGCTTCATGTGGGGGAGTGGGAAATCAAGCCGTTCTCCAGATTAGAATCTGCTGCTCTTAACCACTACACTATGTTGGCTCTCATTAAGAGGTACAAGCTTTAATAGACCATCTGAACAACAATGTTGCACTCTCCCTTCTCCTTTATTATCATAGCCTTTTCATTCTATTTTTAGATCCTTTTAAAGAATTAACACAGGCCATTATAGTTGGTCATCCACCTACACACTACATTACTGTTGGTGATCTCTTACATGATTCCAAAGAGCTGCCTGCAGCAAACCAAGTGTGAGTAACAGATACATGCTCTTTTAAAATCATGTGCACACAGTGGGCAGCGTGTATTCCATCATGGGTGTTTTAAGAATGCACATTTGCCATTCACACTTTATCTGTTTGATTCAGAAACTAAGTGTGGAGCTGTTTTACCTTTGAACAAGGCCACATAATAGCCTTAGTATATAATTTAGTCGTTCTGCAGTTAACACAGGCCTGTTCACCACTGTTATTTTTGTATAGCTATCAAGAACCAAATCCTGAATCTTCCATTGCACTTAAATATGTTTTTGCACTGGTATTACTTCTCAAACATTAAGCTTGAAACGTTAAGAAATAACATGCACAGTGTGACTGATCTAGGACACAGAAGTCTTCTAAGATGCTATTAGTTACATCCTCTGTTGAGTATCGCATAGCATATTTTACAAGTGACTGAAATACATTCTATTATGAACTGGGGTTAATATTTTTAATACTTCCTAAAACTAGGAGCTTAATTTTTCTGTATGTGGTTTCAAGTTCTTAAATTAAACCTTTTAGTATTACCTCCATTTTTAATTTTTAAAAATAACTTCTGATTGCAGTAATTACTGTGACTTCAGAAAACATTGCTTAAAATATATTATTGGACTGCCTAAGCATGTGTTTTTTCCACATGAAAATACATTTTTAATGAAGAACTGCTGCCCATCTGCAGTCATAATGGCTTAGACCAACACACTGTCTGGGGTGGGGGAAATTTCTGCCCATGGAGTGCAATTTTTA